AAAAAAGACAAAGAGAAATTCCCCCCCACTTCTGCTTTTACCCTTGAAATGCAGCTTTTACACTGTGGCTGGCTATACAGTATTTTTTGTTTTGAGCCTTCAACTCCTGTACAAATATTCCTGGTCATGCTCCCAGCTCCTCATCAGAGGTTTGTGCCAGCTTCTGATCAATCAGATAACATGACTATCATTCTTTCTGCCCTGCTGCTTCATGGTATGTGATAGGAAATTAGTCAAAACAGTTGCTTCCAGGTACCTGCTGTTTCAGGAATGACCTACCTAAAAATATCTGTTACTTGCAGATATGCTGTTGTATTTTGCTGAAGAATCTCTCAAATGAAGTGTCAGGGCAATGAGACTGATGATGTAGTACATGTTTCCATCTGTGAAGAGATGACAGGACTGACAGCAGCTGTAAGTCAAGGTGATACCAGGAACTGCAAAAAAGATCCCTGCTTTCTCCCAGAGACACTCCTTATATCCAGCCCTTTTTGCCACAGGGGAAAGCACTACCCTTTTCCTTGGAGGATGCTGGTGAAGATGGGCTTCTAAGTGCCTTTTGCACCTGAAATTCAGCAACGTGCAGTAGCTGGCTGAAGCTCTGGGGGACTGCCTGAACTGTCTGCTCACACATGGTGCCAGTGACCCATACCTGCTGGAGGCTGTGGTGTTGCCTGGAGGGAAGGAGCAAGCTTGGAGGGAAGAGACTCTTGTAGCATGAAGCCTGTGCTCTGTTTCTCCCTGCATCTCTCTCTGTGGTTTCCCAGGCAGAATTCCAGGTGTCTGTGTATGTCTTGCATCCGCCTAGGCCCCAGAGAAACACCTAAGCCTTAGACTCCTCAGGAAAGAACCAGGGGAAAGAAAACCCCTATTTCAGATGGCTTCTCTCTTGAAAGGTCTAAAATCATGCCTGTGCCACACACGTGCTTTCGACAGCAGCCCTTTATGGCCAGTTCCCTCAGGCACAGGTGAGAGGAGAGCAGAACAGTTTCAACCCTGTGTCTTTCCATTCTTTGTCCAAAGAACAAGAGCATTCAAGAGAGAGAGGGTTCTGGTGTGAGGGAAAAGCCACCCTAATGGGGAGAGAAATGGGGACCACCTTGCAGTTGTGGCCTAACAACGTCATGCACATGGCCTGTTCATGGCCCCTTGCTGCCCAGCCGCTCCAGAGCCTCAGCTGAACAGAAGAGGTCCTGCCTGTTCAGGGTGTTCTGGATCAAAGCAGAAGGCACATTAGGGAGGAAGGAGCTGGTCCCATGCAAGCTGGATCCTTGTAATACTTCAGAAGGCAATCAGCACGTCGGAGCAATGGGCAGCAGCCAGTGCCTGCGTGTGCCTGGCACAGGACCAAGTGGGCAAAGACAAACTCTATCTACTGAGTAAACGGTGAGCAATCTCCTGTGAGATCTTGGCAGCTGGAGGTATTCTGTCAAATCACAGCTTCCGCTGTTTGTTTTGTGTGGAGCTGGGGTTTGTCCTGCTGCCATCGGTGGGGGGAAGCTGCTTGGTTTGTATGAACAAAGGCAGATGGGAAGCCTGGGATGCTTGGATAGATCCCAGCACTTCCACTGTTCTTCTGTGAGCTAAGCATGCCCAGTCACCTGGCCACTCTCCCCATGCCACGCAGACATCAGTAGCAGAGCTGTGATTTGACTCAGCTGTGTCCCAGCCTGAAAGGGTGAAGGATTCTTTCAGAAACTTCCAGACACTGCAGAAATGAAACAAGGGAAGTTCAGGTTGGATCTAAGGAAAAAGTTCTTTATCATGAAGGTGGTGAGGCACTGGCACAGGCTCCCCAAAGAAGTGGTGAATGCTCCACCCCTGGCAGTGTTCAGGGCCAGAATGGACAGAGCCTTGGGGACATGGTCTAGTGGGAGGCATCCCTGCCCATGGCAGGGGGTTGGAACTGGATGATCTTTAGGTCCTTTACAGTCCAAACCAGGCTGTGATTCTATTCAATGAATAAAGACTTCCAGGTAATACGGCTCCATGCTAACATCCTGCACGCCTGACAGAATAGTATAGAATAGTATAGAGTCTGGTACAATAAGCAGTTTTGCCTTTCCTATATCATGGCTTTTGTTTTCCTCAAAGCATTCAGACTCCTTGGAGGTGCAGACTTGGCAGCTCTAAATACCACGATGGCACACAGGGCAAGTGCAGCTCTGGTGTGTTTCTTGCCTGTAGGATTTCTGCCTTCATCCTGAGTAGTTTTATTGTGTCTGGGTTGTGCTCTGTTGTGGGGAGGCCTGCAAACACCCAAACACCAGAACTTTGGAGTCATGCCTGGTAGCAGAGACGAAACTTGGGTGAACATATGTTTTCCCAAACCTGATTTCACAGTTTTCCAAAAAACAATTCCATATATATTATATTACAGTATTTATATATATGTATATGCATACACACACACACACACACACACACTTGCTTACCCTGCTGAAAAGCCACACGTTCACCAAAGTGAGCCTGCTCTGGGTTTAGCAAGAGGAAATCAGATGTGGCAGCTTTGACTTGCATATTGAGGTTGCTGTCAGCTAATGCTTTCCAGTTCCAATCTCCCCTATCACAAAATTAATGACAAGAGGGGCCTCGCAGAAGCATTTTGTTATCATTATTCCAACAGGAAGCTTTGAATGGGGCTCAAGAAAAGGTGGTGCTTAAAAAGCACCTTGTTTGAATTCCTGCCATGTTTCCTGAAGACGGATTTATGCCATGTAATGGAAATGCTGCCCCTCAGAGATGGAGTTTGCATGACTACAGAGACACACATACATCCATGACTGTACCCTTAAACTGCCTGGGTGTCATGGTTTAAGCCATGGCACTGGGACTGTAATTAAAATTTATTGCAATGGCTGCAGGTCAAATTAAACACCTCCAAGTGCTCAAAGAGCCTTCCAAGCCAAGACCTTAGCTGGCATCAACAGAACAGGGACTCCCTCCCTGTTATGTCATAAACTCTGTACTGAGGGGGGGGCTGCTCTTCAGTGTCTAACTGGAAAGAGATACCCGGGACATTCCCAGCAAAATCCACATGTGATGCACACTTCCCACCATACTGAGAAGCCTATGGCTTCATATTTGTTGAAACCATCAAGACCTTCACTGTGGCGTGAAACTTGAAAAGAAACTGTGTTGAGTATATTCTAATACTACTGCTGGATGCACTGATATTATTTTAATCTGGTGAATTGTTTTATACACTCAAAAAATACACTTTCAGGAAACATAGATTGTAACTTGGATTTAGTAAATACATTTGGCTGAGTCAAGTCCTAGGACGGGCTGACTTTTTTTATTTTTGTTTCATTTTTGTTTTTATATAATTTGATTTCTTTTCAAAGAAAGACTTTGGATTTTTTTCCTTTTTGAATGTGGTTGTGGTGAAAATAGTTAGGATTAGATGCTGAAAAAGGAAATGTTTTGTTTCAACACCAAAGTCTTTATGAGTCTTCCTTTCACCCTGTTGATGCACAAGACAGTATTTTCTTTGGGTTTATTTTTGTTCTTCCTAAGAAAAGTGCCCCTCTCAACCTAGCTTTTGAAATTTATCTTCTAAATATATCTATTCTGCTCAGCTGAAAGTGGACTGAGATGTAGGGCTAGTTCTGCTTGGTGAAGCAGTCAGCTGCATCTTAAGAGCCAGCAAGCTTCTGTGGCCTGCTTGCTTCAGAGAAAAGGCTACTGTAGCTGGTCTTGTTGATCTTGTGTGATTTGGAGCTGGGTAAAAAGAGTGTTAAACTGGCTCCCTATTAATGCAGAATACACCCTGTCTTTGTATACTAACTACTGGCAGCTCCCTGGGGTTTAGCAAAAATGGAAGATTTTGGTTCCTTCATTGGGCTCAGGAAACAGCGCACCACTGATCCAGCTTCATGTACCAGCTTCATGTATAGCCTGGAAAGATTTCCTGAGTTTTACTTTCTGTCTGGGAGGGTGAAGAGTGCTTTTTAGAACCTGCAGAAAGAATGCCAGGCTTTGCATAGCCTGCTGGCAAAAGAACAAAGCTAACTTGGAAGCTATGCATCTGCATTGCTCCCTTCCTATTTGGTTTCCCTTTCTTTACTATCAAGGTAATTTTGAGTGCAACAAAATGGAGCAAACCCTCTGGCTCAGAGCTGACAAAAGGCAGCAGCACAGAGCCTGCCAGGATGAATTCTGCCAGTTGCAGAAGTTAGGACTCACCTCCCCAGTGGTAAAATTAAACCTGAGTTACTACCTCTCGCAGGTGTTGATGGAAGGCACAAACCACCTGGCAAACCGCAAGCCTTGGAAGAGGTACAAACTAAACGCAGACAGGAAATCCCCCACCCAGCCAGGACCTGGAAGTTGTCTGCACCTGAAGGAGAAGTAACAGGGGATGGTTTACTTTAGGTTGATTATTTGCAAATGACTGGATGCGAGTGACGAGTGACGTTAGTTTCCTGAGCTTTGCAGTAATGCTATCAAATGAGTAAAACATCGGCCCTTGCTATCTCCTCTGACCAGCTTCCTCTAACTGGTAGGTTCTCGCCTCTCTGAAGACCTGATCCTGATCTCTTTGAATCATGATGTGGGTGTCAAAGAAGCAATTCTGGCAGCCAGTATCTCCCTGTGAAGCTGGGTCACAGTCAGGGCTGGCCGAAGGATAACGAAAGGTAATTATGTCCATGAGTGGCAAGGAAGTAAAATGTCTTTGTTCCCATCTTTACTATTCCTTCACAGAGACCCAAAAGCTGACAAAGATTATAGGGCAACAGAGAGAGGTGCATACTTTACAGCTGTAAACGTAGCCACAAGGAGGAAGCTGGCTGGGACACAGTCCTATACTTTTCTCCCTGGCATCCCATTTCACCGGAATCTTTGCTGGAGTAACACATCTCTAAAATACAACCAAGTGACAGTTTTTCACTTCCTTACTCACACACCTCCCCTTGTGAGTTCAGACTGGTCTCAGGTAACTCTGTGTATATTTATCTTGCATAAGCAATCGATCACTTACGTCTTCTGTTTTATGGATGTTCTCCCATCTGACACCTGGCTCCATTACAGTTTGTTGTGTTCCATGATGACCATGATGTAGAGACTCTACTACAGCTCCCAGCTCCTGCATCAGCACTAACACCCATGAGGTAGGCACTGAAACAGAAAGGGAAGAACTGTGTAACTACAATGGCCAGTTACTCCTTTCACTCTCCAGGTATGCTTTTGTTGGAAGTGGGAACTAATTTTAACTGTCTGCTGTCAAAGATGGACTGGGATGGGTGAACCTCAGAGTCCTCTGGCTGGTGCTACAGATGGGTCAGAAAACTGATCAGAGAAACACCAAGTATACACATTTCACATGTCATTTTTTCAGCACAGAAGCCACTCTCTATGAATTAAGGCAAAAGAATAATTCAAGGCCTCTGGAGACAAAGGCTGCAGTGGTGAGGAGCTATCTTCCTACAAGAGGTATGATCTTGGTCTTGTTATCTAATCGGTAGTGTACCCAAGGAAGCATATTTACACTGTAAAGTGTTCCTTGTATATCAATGGGTCTATGTAAGGCAATTAGTAAGTATGTTTAAAGCTTTCCAAATAAACTCCAAAGCAGGAGGACTTCTTGTTGGTAGGGAAGGGCTGGCTGCAAGTGGGAGCTCTGAATGCCACCTGCTAATCCTTTCCTTCCTGCTGTCAGGGCTCTCCCCGTGGTAGAGGAGGGGGTAGGGGGGCTTCTCCTGTCTTTGCTTCCCAGCTTCCCAGCAAATTTTTTCTCAGAAATCACACAAAAGCTACAGAAAAAAAAACAAATCCTGACAAAAGAGGCTGGAGCAGCAGGTCTCAAAGCAGAGCCTGAAAAGTTACCCAACCCACAAGAGCAGTGCTATGAGTAAACAGGGTTTCACAGAGTGGGTTGCTGTTTATTACCTCTCTCTCAGTTAGCAGGACTCCTTTCAGAAGCAGGACTACTCATATCTGATGAGGCCAGCACCTCAGGAGCACATCTGGCTGGATATGTGCTACATAGTCTGAGCAGAAGCAAGTGGGAAAGGACTCTAGAAGATGAGAGGCCTTTGGGAAATGATCCAGGCATGGAGCAGAGGCTCTCTCATAGCCTGAGCAAGCTGTGGGGCTTCTCAAGGCAGAGCAGCCACCAGATGGAATGCAAGACACTCAGTACATGAGGATGCCCATGAGTTATCCCATGGCCTACCTAACCCATTCCCACAGTATTTCCTATTGTCAAGTGTCAGGGTGCTGGGCACATCTTAGTTTAACTGGAGCCCCAGCACAATTACAGAAACATGTCTCTCTTGGAAACATAATTGGCCCTTTGTAACTGACACACCATGAAGGTGAAATTAAGAAAAGCAACTAGGCATTGCAAATATTTGAGCACTTCCCTCTTGGCATATGATTGCTTGTTTTGTGACCTACACCCCAGTATTCCTTACAGCCCTTCACAAGGGTACAGGTTACTTTAGTTATAGACGCTTTGATCCTTTCTGCAGTGAAGGCAGTGCTACATGGATCAACCAAATGTGACCTAACTCTTGGTGCTGCCACCTTTAGCTATGCCTCATGTGACCTACCAACTCCTTGTAGTTGCTGTGGGCACACTTTATCAGATCCATCTATTGCAGACTTTAAAGAGGTCCCTCCCTAGTGCAGCGGATGCTTGAGAAATGGAGGATACCAGGCATGCTGGGTTGTGTCATCGGCCCTTGATGAGGGGATGAGGGAAGGCTGCCTTGGCAGTACTTTTCCACTTGCTTTCCTACCAGGGAATAGGTAACCAGGCTGTTATGACCTGTTTGAACTTTGGTTAGCCTATCCTTGCAGAGCCAGAGGTCAGATTTGGCTTGGAATACCTCAGTGGTTTGGTGATGTTAATGCATAGTGTGTTATTTTCAGGTAACAAGAGTTCTCAGATGTTCCTTCCTTCCAGAAAGCACCCGCAGGTGAATTGGAATGGACCTAGATTCAATAATTTGTGTTAATAGTCACTGGAGATGTCTGGAAAACATGGAAGTTAAAGCCTGTGGAGCCTCTTTTCATTCAGCAGTGACTTTCAAACATTTCCCATGGTCAGATAGGAGCAAAACTCCAGAGCTGTCAATTTCCCACAGAAAGGGAATCGTAAAGAACATAAACTTTCTGTTTTGGCAATGCAATTGCTTTGTTGTCATAACAGTGTGTTTCATTTTGACAGTGGTGAAAATATTTGTCTGTCAAATGGTAGCAATGATACACTGCATTTAAGATCTGAGACAGTATTAAACATAACTGAAAAGCAAACTGTATGTAACACAAAGAAATTCATGGAAATGACAGTCTTTGGAGGTAGAATGAGGGAAGGGGAACAGTGCCCATGAACAGGAAACCTGAAGAGGAGGAAGAATACCCCGCACCAGAGAATGATGGGGAAACCAAGAGGCTGGCTGATGAGCAGATGACCAGTCTTAGTCATCACAGGGGCACACACACACCATGACATGAAACACTCCTGGAACAAGTCCCCAGCCCAGCATATGTCTCAACTTCCTGCCCCAGGAAAGCATTTTGCCTTTAGGAAGTGTTTACGCATCTCAAGGGGTAAAGACTGGAGCAGAAAATGTCTTTTTTTTTTTGCCTTTTCTATCCAGAAGGCAAGCTAGAGCTGGTGTACCAGGAGCAATGGCTTGACTCCTGTGCGTGGCAACAGATCTGGGGAGAGATAAGGGAGTGGTGCAAATGGAGAACTGCTCTGCTGGAAGGGCTGTCTCTGGAGAGAGCAGGCAGGATCCTTCTTGTCTTGTTACAGTGGGAAGAGGAAAACAGACAGAGGGGTCTGAGGATGCCCTAAAAAAGGTGCAGCTCTACAGAAGGAATTGGGAGAGGAGCAGGAAGCAGTGAAAGGCCAGTGCTACGCTGAGGCCTTCCCTCAGGACCTCACTCCTGAGATTTTCTACAGGAATAGTTTTGATTTCTAGTGGGCAGAGCTGCCGTAGGTGATGTGGGAGCAAAGTGGGACTTGGATTTCAAGCAGCTGGAACAGTGAATGGCATTGTTCAGTTGATATACCTGCAGATTGGCTTGTGACTGCTGACAGCTAACTTAGTTCCCCTGGTGTCCTCACTGGGGTGGATGGGCTGCAACAGCAGAACAATTGAGGGAACATCTACCCTCAAGCCATGGGTGGAAGGGGAGGAACTCCCATCCAGCTCGAGATCACAGATTGACCTGGCTTCATTGCCACATTTCATTGCCCAGGACATCAAGGATGTATTGAGGTTTTCTGGACCATGACTTACTGGAAAGAGCTACTCAGATTTTGAGCTGAGGCAAAAGAAACTTCGAAAAGGCTCCTCTTTTTAGAGATTATAGGATTTCTGGTCTTTTAAAGCCTGTATTTCCATTTGAGCCTCTTCTCTAGTTTTATTATTAAAAACATACAGTTTATTCAACAGCGAAATTTCCCCCCTTCAGGTAACATATAAGCAAAAGCACCTCCAAACAAAACACCTGAAACAAACTTCCCTAAGTGGCCTGCTTCTCCAGAATTGTACTTCCATCAATATTTTCTCCTCTCACTTTCCTGTGTGATACTTGCTACATTTTTTGTTCCAGTGAGATCCCTGTGTGGCAACTGCTAACGCACATAATCTGACTGTGACTGCCATAGGAGCCAGTGAGCCTGCATGGGCGAGAAGGGAAACCACTGATCTGGCAAAGTGCAAACTGATAAATCCAGTCAAAATCCTCTCCTTTCCTGACTGGCAATGCATTACACTGGCAAACTGGCCTTCACTGTGGGTGGCAGAAACCTGCTTTAGGAAGGTTTTAAAACACCAGAGGGCACAGCATTTGGGCTAACGTGGTAGAGTCACATTTGCTCATGACTCAGTGCCCCTGGTGTCACCTCTGCTGCTGGCACAGCAAGAAGGAAAAAGAAGTGAGTGCAGAGGCAATTTCTAACTCAAAATGGGTGGGCTGTCACACAGCAAACTCTACAAAGGCAGCAGGGTCCTGTCTCCCTGACCACCTCCTCATTAAAACTCCTCCTCAGAAAACAACTGGGAACAAATCCTCTTTCCCACCCCGGGTACAAGTCTCTCTGCAGGGCTTCATCATGCTTAGGAGATGGTGGAAGACCTTTGTATTTAGACAGGGAGGTATCCAGCCTGAGACAGAGAAGAATATTTTGTTGAAAGTATTTTAGCACTGAGGTGGTTACTAGAGGAAGGCTCCATGTGTGAGTGTGTGTTGTCTCTTCCCTGCTGAATGCAGAGATGTTTGCATCTTATTCTGTCCTGTGTCCAGAATGAGTGATGTTATGTTTATTTCAGGTGGCCTTTAGGGACACATGTGGCTGTGCCTCAGACTCTCCACAGATACAACTTGCCCCTCAGCAGTCCATGCCACCGCGCTTGTGTAGATGGTTTCTCCTACTGCTGGCTGTTTTCCAGGGCTGTGTTGGTGCCTATTCTACACCAGGCATACCTCAAGACAAAAAACTGACAATGCTGGTTCCTCTATCAGGGTGCTTTGAGTCTGCAACTGCTTTTATTTAAGACTAAACTCAGCCCCTGGAGTAATGGTTCACAGAGTCACAGAATCACAGAATGGTTTGTGTTGGAAAGGACCAGTTCCAATCTCCCTGCCATGGGTAGGGACACCTCACACTAGACCATGTCGCCCAAGGCTCTGTGCAACCTGGCCTTGAACACTGCCAGGGATGGGGCATTCACCACTTCTTTAGGCAACCTGTGCCAGTGCCTCACCACCCTCGTGATAAAGAACTTCTTCCTTAGATCTAACCTGAACTTTCCCTATTTAAGTTTGAACCCATTACCCCTTGTCCTATCACTACAGTCCCTGATGAAGAGTCCCTGATGACTGCAGGCCAGTTCAAGGGAGACAGAACTTCTAAAGTACCTCCTTCTTCTCTTGTACCCCAGAGGTTAGAGACTTCTGTTGTAATCCTTACACCCAGTGATTTCCCTTCTCCCTTTTCCATGAAGCAGCCATTTCTTTCCTGCATTGGCATATCCTCTGCAGCCTGCAGGCAGCATCAAAGGAAACAGCAAGTTTTAGCAAAGAAAGCAGCAAGCTGTGGCCTGTCCTATAGGAATGCCATGGCAGGCAGAGGGAGCACGGGAGGCACAGGGCACTGACCTGTCTGGCTGTGATTTAGGGAGCTGCAGAAGCTAAAATGCACCTGTTTTATTGGAGGTGTGTTTGCATGGAGGATCAGATCCTGCCTTACTCTGCTAAAACCGTAAAGTGGAGCAGCTTCTCTGGAACAGCTCCTGGATGGGCTTGTCCAAACAGCAGCAGAGGAACATCAAAAGGTGCAGTGATCACCCACAGATAAACACCCCAGCTGTCTGATCCTGAGCCACCCCCAGGCACAGCTGAATAGTTTGTCTGCCTGTGATGAGCTCTCTACAGCTCTCCCTTATACTGGAGCCTCCTTCCATGGCAATTGCTTAATGCATGTGGTGAAGGGCTAACTGACTTCTTGACTAGCCAGAGAAGAAGGCTTGGTATCTAAAGAATAGTTACTTGTTAGATAACCCTAGCATGAAGCCCTTTGAACAGAAGAAGGAATGGGAACACAGGCTTGGGTCAGTGCTACAGCGAGCAAGTCCCCACTCCAGTGACCCAGCTCCAGTGGGAAGTGTGTTTGCATCAACCATCTTTCAGTAATTATAGCAACAGATGACTCAAGATCAAAGTGTGTTTGTGAATGATGTGGTGAAGTCAATCTATGTAAATCTGAGCTTTTTATCTCTGGATCTGTCTTTAATGCTGACTTCTGTCCGGCTTTAACCTGCCCTGGGAAAACATCTCAGCTCCCAGTGCTGTGGCGCTGGTCTGGACAGACCCTGATTGCTGCCTGGCTTCCCTTTGCTCCCCTCCTCACCCTGTGCACAGCATGGCTCCAGGGGGACAGCAGCCACTCATCTGTGGGGCCTGATCCCTGGAGATCTTCCCAATGCAGAAGGGCACATTTACTGTCACTGTGAGCCAACACAGCCAGGTGCCCATGCTGACATGCTGACCATGCTGACATGCCACAGTGCTGCTGGTAGTTGGTACTTCCAGGGTCTGCTGCTCCCATGGTCAGCACCCAGCCGGCAGATGCTCCTGCCCAAGTGCTCCAGACATGTTTTCTGATCCAACTTCTCCCAGACATCAGGCTAGACTCCAAAGAGTGTTTGACAGGAAGGCCCCTTGCTTCAGGGTGACACAGGTGACAGCACGTGGAGAGCGTACCATTGGCCCAGCCCTTTGAATAAATCCCATGAACGCCCTTCATCGAGGCTGAATCTGTTTCATCTTCTTGCTGTCACGTATCCTCCTATCAGTTTCTATCATGTGTTTATCCTGTGTTTTCTAATTAGTTAATTACCTTACCCATGATGCTAAGCTTCAGCTGTTACCTACACCAGGTGATCTCCTTATGCGATCAATTTGTAAGCACTCCTTTGGGATATCTCCTTTCTGCAGAGCATACTCTGGACAGCACCACACACGTCTGGGGAGCTCCTTCCAAGCTCCTGAATCACTGCAACTCTCCTCTTCCTCAGTCTAGCTCCCAGCACTTTCACAAGCTTGCTGAGTTCCCTTTTATTTGCACTATTGCAATCAAATACTTCTTTTTTACTTCTTCATCTTTGTAACATGGCTTTTGCTAGAACCCTCTGCATGTGAAGAGCAGGAGAATTCTTGGTGTTAGCTTAGAACACAATACTGCCAGAGGAGTAGCTTGTTGGGTGAGAGTGCTAACAAGAACATCAACTGTCCTTGCCTCAGAAGCCAACCACCAGGAACTTGCTCTTAAATGTCACCTGCAGGGAAGAGGAGTAAATGCCTTCTGGGGCCATGGTGAGAAAGGATTGTGCTGATGAGTGGCTTGATCTGCTTTGTCACTTGTGTCATGGGTATTCTCCCACCTCACCTCATACTGCAGCATGTAGGGAACGGTTGGTTCTCCAACAGAGGTTAGAGGAAATGAGGCAGGGAGAGGTTTTCTAAATGTGAGAAACAAAGAGAGAGAAGTTACTCCACATATTGGTCTCTCGTGTGGTTGCATGCTGGCTCCAGACAGATTTCCTGCACAGTTCCTCGCTAAAGCTGTTTGAGTCACAAGCAGCAGAGTACAGAGGGAAGGCCGGGGTGGCTAGGGGTTAGGTGAAGAGAATGAATCTTGTCCTAGAAAGCCTTTTCCAGATGTCCCTGAGCCAGTCTCGATCTTCCTTGAGAATCTCTGTTGCTTTCATTTGATGTTTCCAAAAGCACTCAGTGCCTTCTGCAGTTATCATGTGGCAAAGATGACCACATTGGGTAAAGTTGAGAGCTGTCACCTGGGTCCAGGGACTGATACCATCTATGCACAGGATTTCCTAAATCACATCCATCATCTAGAGTTTTCATTGCTTACGCTGAGATGCTGTGTTGCTCCTACATGCTTATTTCTCAATAGAGTGGAGAGGTTTAATTATTGGGTTGCAAAGCTCCCAAGGGTCTTACGGAAATTGAACTGTAAGAGCCAAGTATGATGACGTACTGGGACTCCTTAAACTGGGATAGGCTGTTATCTGCCCATTTGCTGCAATCCAGGGGAAGTCTGCCCTCAAAACCAGCTGCCCAACATGCATGTGTTTTGGTCGCTATCATCAAAGTCTACAAGATGAGCAGGCAATTCATTATGATATAGGGTAGTGCTTTGAATGTTATAATCTGAGCTTCTTAAAAGCTTAATCTTTCTGTCCCTGGGATCACATCTTCCTCATGAGAAACAATTAGAGTATCCTGTGATAAAACACTGGATTATTATTAATGAAACCTGCACTGTCTCAGAATTTTCATTGACTCAAGTGTTCAAACAGATGCTTGACTTAAAATATGTGGGCACTCTCATTCCTGCCACAGGAGCTACCAATGCTTTTCACACAATGCCAATAAATGCGACTTGTTAAAAGCATGTTTGATTATTTATTAACCTCAGTTATGTCCTACTCAAAATCACTCATCAGAAAGTGCTCAGCACTTGATGCAGCCCTGAAACTAAGTAGGGTGTTAGCTACATCTTTCTTTTCCTTAACTCTTTAAGGAAGAAATGTCTGGATTTTGTCAGTGCAACAGCAATCCATAGAGTTTTGTTTGCCTCTGAGCCACACTCAGTTGGGGGCTGTAATATCTGGAACCATTTTTGCTAAAAATGTGAAGACAGGAGCCAAGCTTTGACATTTGCAGACTGAACTTAATTATCAGGATGCTTTCATGGTGGCTCTTGGTGGTAAGACACTTTTGTTGATCTGTATATAAGCTTATAGTTGAAATAAAATGCTCCAACAGTTTATGTGGTAGGGACACAACTTCCCGGCTCAAATTATAGAGACCACATAGCTGAGTCTTTTGCCCATACACAGAAGACAAAGGGAGGTTTGCTAATCATTTGGAGGAAACTGGGGTTTGACATTATGGGTCTGTTCTCTTACGCTACTCTTCCAATTCTCCTTTCCTAGTGCAAGCTGTGAGGTTTCAGGACCATGCCCTGTCTTTGCTACCTGTGCATACAAACAGGATGCAGCTGAATCTCAGTTCCTGCATGGAGACTCCCACCACTCTTGCAGTACTGGTCAAATTTTCCGGAATGCGTGCTGGAGCTGGTGCAGGTGCTTGCACGAAAAGGAGCAGACATGCCTGGATTTGGTGCTCTGGGCCTTCCCTGCTGTACCTCATCTTCCTTGGAGAAGGACCAAGGGGATCAAAGGCGCCAATTGCTGCCAATGGCTATGAATGACTTTGTGTAAGTCACATCTACTGCCCTGCTAAATGTCATGATCCAGGAATGCAGCTACTGCTCAGGCAGTTGCCAGGTGGTCAAAGCAACTGCAGGTGTGTATCTTTTTATGTGTTTATATATGTAAATGGAGTCAAAGTCTCAAGCGATTAAGTCATGCAATGTAAAGCATGTGACAGTGGTTAAGAAATAGCGAAGGGCAGACAAGGGTGACAGGAGGAAAGCATTTCATAGTGGCAGCTGTGAGCTAAATCATGTTGAAATCGGGTAACCTGGATTTTTTAGGAGAGAGGTTGGAAAGGAAGAGTGTAGCACTGGGAGAGGAGCTTATTTTTTTTTTTATCTCTGGAAAGGGTCCTGAGCCTTTCTTTGTAAAGCGCTTGGGCCCTGACTTTTATTTATGTCTGCTACTCTTCTTCCTCTCCTTCTCATTCTCCCTTTCCCTCTTCCTCTTTCTTTCCCTCTCCCTCTCCCTTTCCCTCTGCCTCTCCTCATCCCCAGTAGTTTACTCTTGGCTTCTCAGTGGCACAGGAGGAAAGGCAGCGAGGTGAATGAAATGGACTTGTGGATGGGACTCTGTCTGCTAGACTCACATTGGATCACACGGAAAACTTTATGCTGAGTGGAAAATGCCCACTTTAATAGCAACTGGATTTGAGTCCATAATTACCACAGCCATCACATGTCTGATTTGCAGCTATGAGCACAAACAAATGACTTGTCCATGCACTGACTGTGCTTCACATTAAATGCTCCTGGGTCCAGGGCTTTTTAAAAACCCACAGAAAACTGTATTTAGCAACACTGGTCTGATCCTCATGGAGATGAGTAGGAGTTGCTGTACTAGGAGAGCTAGACTGTACCCTTCCACACAAACCAGCCCAGTGGCAGACATCAAATGATGTTGTTCCTCAGCAGTCTACTGATGTTATCATTGTTTCTTTGAGCAGTTAGAAAGAACAAGATCCTACAATGACAAACCACAACATTTGTTGTGGTACATAAAGAAAAGATAAGTAAAAATGAAACCTTCCCAAATATATATATATATATGTGCATTTCACATCCTTTTTGTTTTTCGTGGACCAAGCACCTTACAGACAATTTGCTCATGACCTGCCAAAAAAAAGGTACTAGGGTCCAGCATGGAAGACAGACATAAAATAGCTAAAAACCAAGCCTAGAGAGGAGAAGTGCACTATTAAAAAAGAATCATTAACTTGCACATTAATTTCTAAGGCAGCATCACACTTACTGAGCTTTGAGGCATACAACTCCAGGGAACAATGAAAAGCTGTGTCTTGTTGCATTAGGAATTACTTTCCATTCCTGTATTCCTACCCAAAGCCTAAAATACATATTAAGTCTAAATAAAGGTAAATCTAAATAAAAGTGCTCCCTGACCTCACTGGATGTTGCACAGATGTGGCACAGAGGGAGGAAAGGTCAAGGTCATTCTGTGTATATTTCAAGTTTATTCATTAGATATTTACACTAACACCACAATTTACACACACAGCACTGATGGATGTAAATGTTGACCTAAATGTTGAGGTTTGATTGAAGGTATTTGCTTCAACAACCCATATCGATTTGTCATTTCCTTGCTAGAGACCCTTGGCAGGTCTCCCCTAGAAGAAGAGCCACCTTAGACAGAGAAAGAGGCTGTGAGGGTTGAGCAATTTGCCCTATAGACTTCTATGCCCTGTCATCACAAGGCCATATGATTCCATTCAATTACCAAGTGTGTCCCTTTGCACTGTTTGTTGGCTTTTGCAGAGTTGTTAGACAGAGGGGGAAAGTATTTTTTCCATAGGTGCTGTCTCTGTTATTCCACTGTGGATTCCCCCAGCTCCTTGGTGTCAAGCCTCCTGGCAGCACTGCCATGTCGGTCCTGCTTGTTTGTCCTGTTACCTCGAGTGCCGTGAGCCACATCAAATACCGGCACTCCAAGTGCCATGGGGATTGTGCTGCCTGTTTACTCCCTGCTGGGACTCAGCTCACTGGTGGAAGATGATCCCCTAAGAAGATGTTGCTGCACTGACTAACAATGGGAAGGTTCTCCATAAACCATATGGGGTTAACGTGGAGAGCATAGTGATTTTGGATTGACACCACCAGTGTAGAGGACACCACAGCCCCACTGGTACTGGCCACACATGAATTTGTAGAAATCAGCTTTAAGTCTGAGGCTAGAAACACTCATGTAACCATACAGAAGTGAAGTTCTACGTTCACATTTGCGCCACCAGGTCTGGCTGCCCTCTTTTCATGGTTATCAGACCTACAGTCTTAACCAGGTCAGTTTGCAGCCCCTGCCTACTGCACAGCCTCACATAAAGCAACTTCACCAGCACCTGAAAATCCAGTTCAGTCCCTGGAAAAATGTGAGTGGAACAGTGGTAGAGATCACACTTCAGGGTGGAGACTGCTCTCCTCAGACTAGTTCCAATTGTTGTGTAATGGTGCCAGTGAAGTTTGGTAACTCGCTCACATACTGGGAGGATTCACTTGATCGCAACAGTTAATTTCACTTTCTGGCATCTACCATTCATCAGAAATTCCAGGCCAGAGCTTTAAAAAGCAGCCAGTGATTTAGGATCTCATGACTGCTGGACATTTAAGATTGAGGTATCTTGGCAGGCATGCTTGATGCGCCTCCCCAAACCTCCTCCTCATAACAGCCACCAGAACTGTGGGTCATTCCAGAAGCCCTAGGCTGTGATGTGGAGCCAACACTTGCCCAAGGTGAGTCACAAAAGCTCCTTCCACAGCACGTTTGCCAGCTGGCAACCAGTTGTGCAAGTGCAATAGGGGACATGAGCAAACTGGAGAGTCTGCCATAGTGTGGGGTCACAAGAATCTCCTCCCCACCTTGTGGAGTGGTACACAGGGGGCTGCATCTCCAGCCTCAGCTGTAGCAGCCGCACATAGGGGTTTGCTGCTCAGCCCAAGGTGATCTGAGCACAGTAACCTGGAGGGCTTGTGCAGGACTGTTTGGCAGTTCAGTACTTCTGCACAGCTTGCTCTGAAGTAGCTAATAGAGCTGGCTCCTGTTTCGGACATGCTTTGGACAAGACCGGGCTTTCTTTGTGAGACCCTGCAGAGAGTTCCTGCAGAGGAAACCTGGGTAAGCAGCTCCAAGAGCTTTCCATCCAGCAAGAGTCTATCTAGCTGGGTGATGCTGCTAGAGGAGTGAATTCAGGGAAGCCTGGCAACTGCATCTTACAGCTAAAGGTCCTCAGTTAAGCTATAAAAAAGCATCCTACCTTCCCTGAACCCATCTTGAACTCTGCCCTACACCAATCCCTAGCAAAATGGTACCTGCATCCGTTCCACCCAGGCATACAATCAAATGGTGACTCAGTTCAGTTATTCATGCATTTATTACCCAGATAACTCTCTATTAAGCTAATGAGTCATTCTTTTACACCCACCAAACACATAGCTAGGATGCTGCTTATTTCTGCTATTCATAAACTAGGAGAAGTAGAGCAGAGCCTTGTACCAGAAAATTTATCTTCTCTAGAGAAGCTCTTCAAAGGACACATAGTTTGATCTGTGTGTGCTTTGATGAGCTTTGTGGATCTCCACAGAGTCCCATTCAGCACATTTAGTGAAAGCAGGGGTATGCTTTTCCTACACATATTCTTTTGAACCTCGGCTGTTGTTTAAAGGCAAGTGGACCCTGGCTGGAGGAGAGAGGAAACTGCTGGTGAGATAAGTAAGGCTGCTTCTCCAAGATGACGGGACAACTCGGTTCCAGGCATCAGTGAATTTCAAGCAGGCCAGGAGATGAAAAGCTAGCTATATATACGCACAATCCATGCAAGCTTCTCTGACACAGCAGACTTAGAATTGCCATTTCTTTCTAATTCGGCAGTAATCTGACTATTCCCTAAGACCCCAGAATATGGGGATTTCTGAATGAGGCATAAGTCTCTTTTTCCTTCAAACAGGTTTTGTTCCCTCAGGGCTGTGGACAAAAAAACTGAAAACACAACTTCGGTGCATCCAACAAGCAGAGGAATCAGTGGGCAAATAAGAAAGTGTCTGTAATACATATTTTTGTGAGAGTAACACATTTTCTCTGCAGTACCAAGATTATGAGGCCCAGTCATTTATTTTTTACATGCTTGATGTGCTCTATAAAGTATGGCTGTATTTGAACACTCTTCTGACCACTTTCAGCTGTGCTTTGCTGCTGAGGTGAGCTGCCTGAGCCTTACAAATAAAACTGCGTCTTGATGTCCGAAAGAAAGGTGATGAGAAAAGTTTGTCTGACTTTCTCTCTGGTTTGTGTTGCTGACACAGGTCAGGAGTGCTAAACCAGACCATAGTTCTACAGTAACCTTTCATCCTGCTGGACCAGTGGGTGCCCTTAGCCAGTGAGCTGACAACTGCGTAAGTGAAGAGACAACCAGTTCAGCTCCTTAGGCTGAAACCTCCTGATCAGAGCCAGAATGAAAGAAGGATGAGCTAGAGCTTTAGAAAGGATTTTTCATATAGTTTTCTTATTGCAACTCTTCTGTCTGTCCTTGTGCTGCTGTTTGAAAGACTTGCTCCTCAAGGAGTGATGATCGCAGACTTCCTCCAGACTGGAGTTTGGACCCTGCATGCTCTTTTGAGGAGCACTTGCACTGCCATTTTTTTAGCGGAGCTGTACACAAACATCATATACTTCAGCTCCCTGATGTGTTCTTGAATTTGGCATGTTGTTAGAGGTGGACTAAGAGAGACGTGCTGCACAGTAGCTAGGACTCATTTCCTCAGAAAAATAAGCTAAAGGCACTGCACGGTGCTACAGCATGCTGGCAGGCCCGTGGCTTCCCTGAGCAACAACAGGTTTCTGTACCACAAAGCACCTGGGCACACCAACTTTAGGCAGTTTCCTCTCCAAACAGGGGAGGGAGACGTGGAAGGGTGGTCTTCATGATCACATCCTCATGGCTCCTCTCTACCTCCCCAAGTCCAGACTTTTCACTGGACTGCCATAGTTTTTGCAAATATTCTTTGTTTATTTTTCTAAATAACTATATGGCCTTAAGGTCCTTTCCAACCCTAACCATTGTATAGTTCTATTCCATCCCTGGCAGTGTTCAAGGCCAGGCTAGACAGGTCTTTGAACAGCCTGGTCTAGTGGAAGGTGTCCCTGCCCATGGCAGCGGGTTAGAACTAGATGATCTTAAGGTCCTTTCCAACCTGTTCTGTGATTCTGCTTTATGATTCTAACTAGGCACATTTTTATATGTTGAGCTTTTCAGGCTCAAAGCTTTTGCTAGTTCCCAGAACTTGCAGATGATCCCAAGCCTATCATCTCTGCTAAGAAAACAAGCTCTTCTCACAGCTGTTCAAAAATATTGACCAATATTAAAGAATATACTCTCCTCATTTCAGAGGCAGTTATTGGAATGTGCTTGGTATTCAGATAATAACTTCTGTCTGTAGGAACTTGCTGAGTGATGTCTTGAATCACGCTTTGATAAAGTGATCTGTTTGAAGTCTATCAGCCCCTTCTCAATGCTGTCACTCAGCAGCCTTGACTCTGTCAGCAGGTATCAGAGTAGGGTCCCACTCAACTAAACCCAAAACCAGTCTCACCTTAGTCGATTATTGATTAAAAACACAGACCGGAAAAAAACAAGGAAAATGGTCTTTTCACAAACAAGTTCACTTAATACAGACAGCAACAGTGGGTTTTCCTCTGGTGAATGTCAGCTGAGGAGCAAGACCCTTCCAGCCAGGCTTTGCACAGACCACACCATGTGATTTTAAGGGTGTTGCCTTCTCTTGTTTCGAGGCTATCTCCTACATAAATGGGGTTTAATTGCGCCTTCCATCAAGCCTGACAGAAGAGTGCTAACACACCCAATGGCTGTGAGCAGGCCTGTGACTGTCTGCAGATCAAAGCCGATCATACCTCACGGCAGCAACCATGAGCACATTCCAGGCTAACCTGGAGTCTCCTGAGAGGCCTGCGAAAGGCACAGAGCACCCTGTAGCCTTGCAGTGCTCCCCACCCACTGCTGCCTTCCATTAATTAATTAACTCTGCAGCTTTGTTCCCTTATCAACATCCTCCCAGCAACAGCACAATAAATTGTACTTGCAACAGATGATGCTTAAATGAGATGATCCCAGGTCTTTGCAACTTGAAACAAGGGTGGGAAACTCATAGCTTTGTGGTGTCTCCAATTCATTCATTATACAATCAGATCTTAATTGCTGTAAGAATATGATTCTAGTAAATCTGGCCTCTAGTACCACTTCACTTGCTAAGTCTCCACTGCTATACACAGACTAGCCCTTGTGGGTTTTTTTACTTCAGTGGACTTTAAGGTATTGAATCCTCTGTAGAACTAACACTGTGTTCACCCACCCTGTATTTACCCACTGAGTGGACAGACATCGAACTTCAGTTAGCTGTTTGAGATAGTGAAAGAGAAGGCATTTCTACAGGGAAATTAATTTGAAATGAGGTAACAAAAATAATCCAGATGAATCACCAACTGAAGATGCTCCTGCTGGCTAAAAGAAAGGATAGGCATGAGATGCTTAACTTGACTACAATAAAGCCCACCTTATGTGCACAGAATCATAGAAACCTGAGCATGATAATAACCAGAAGGCTGCTTCAGGGTAACATTTGATGTGAGAAGTGTGAGGGGACTAATGCCTCATCCTAATAGTGGGGAAAGAGCCTCCAAGTGGGGAGATAAGTACCATCTGCCTGACTGGTATAAAGTGGTGTATATGTGGGACAGAAAGGGAAATCTGCACATTTCAGCACTTAATGATCTGCATGACCACATCAGGCAGCACACAGCTCTGAGAAGGCACTTCCCAAGCAGAATGAATTCCTCAGAGTTAGAAACTCATTTGGAAGAGCTGGAGACACAGGAATTATTCTGTGTCTCTGTCTGTACTGATAGGGATCAATGAGAGTTCCCGGGGACCAAATGCTTTTATCTCAATTGAGAGGGGGGAAAAAAATCCTCTTCTTTTCTGATCCTTTCAAATTGTCAAGCAACGCTTTAGCCAGATCATCAGCATTTGAGGCTCAGGAGTGTTCACCTGCCCTACTCTGCAGTTGGCTTCCTCATTGTTTCATCTGGGGCGTAACTCTCAGCAGCAGTGGGAGCCCTGTGTTATGAACAGGTACTACACAGTAACATCCTTGGGGTGGTTCTCAAGATGATTCCTCCTTCTGAGGAACACAGCTTGGTTTGAACCATGATAAGAGGCAAGACTGCATCAAGCAAACTCATGCCAAAGTCCTTCCATCCAAATGAAATGTGTCCAAATACAAACACAGTGCAAGAGACGGATGCTGCTTGTGAAAAATTCCAGTCCAGGTGTCCTGCAGAATCCTGCACTGACTGGAATTTTCCCCTGGAGCACTGTGCTGCCTGCTTAGGAACCTCAGAGGCATGATGGGGTGGGTGTCCATAGACGCAGCTCTGGTGACTCAGCAGGTGGCAGCCTTCACCTGGACTTTGCAAAGAATTGTCACCTTGAAGAAGGTGAGGGGATGGCTGAAGAGGAAGGCACCCCTCTCCTGGCACAGCGTGCAGAGTCTGGACGTTGCTAGCTGTCAGACTTTACTCCAGGTGTGAAGAGACCCATGACAATGTGCTGGAAGAACTGACCTCCTGGACAACAAGTGGACTTTCTTTTGGTGCCAGGAGGTACTGCTAGCATCTCTGGCTCCAGTACACTCCAAAAGATCTTTACACAGAACCCATGCAATTGAAAAGACAAACTGAGTTTGGCACTTTGGAAGAGGTTTGGATCAACAGAATCACTGCTCCTTTGTATGGTAACCAGGAATAGGGAGCAGTATAGTTCTTCCTAGTTTTTTTTTTTTGAGGGAAAATTTGCTGCAGGGGTGAAAATTGAGACTGTGAGAGCCATGTTTTGGGAGAGGGACAGTTTGGGGAGCAAACAGAACCTAGCAAAGGTTTATATGGGATGTAACTCACATGCTCATGAAGAAGGGAATGCTTTCATCACAAAAACCATCCAGTTCCTTTCAAAGCCAAGGTGTTCCTAAGAATTACAGTTTTGATTTGAACTGTGA